CGATCAAAAATTTATTAATCACATATTCACAGTAAAACAAAACACAATCTACGGAATCATAATTATTTTCAAATTTCAATATGTATTTATTCTCTGCATTTTACCATCGTATCTTTCATTTGTACATTCACACAAAAACTACTGCCATTAGGGGTTCGGAATCACTTGCATGACAGATCTACATTTATTGCAACTAATATATTTATCGCACAAAGCTGCATATCATATACAACCTCACCGTATCCAAATTGTTTTTCAGTTTCGCAGCTCATTAGGTATAACCTTACAAAATTATTGTTGCAAGACATCGACCCCAGATGACACCCTATCATCTACCAAATAACATTGCTACAATGTTTGTACGCAATAAAAACTTTGTTTTACACGGAATACCGACTATTCGTGGCAAACAGAGCGTCCTTTTTTCATGCATCGCTGTTTGAAACTCTATGTCTTTCGAAACAAAAGCACTAAAAATTCATCAATTTGAAAAATAACAAAAAGTTACAATTTCTATATCCCTGATGTATAGGTATGCCCATAATTTTGGTTGCTGTGTGTTATTATTTGATGATCACGTTCTTCTTACATTGTGTGCTCCTATTTTTTCTGGTGTAGTTGAAGTCCAACACCGATTATTTTATTTATACCACTTTATAATATGTCTAGTTATGCTGTAACCAAAGTTTCTTATGTACTTCATGAAAAAAAAAAGGGGGGGGGGTACCCCTAAGCTTCGCCTTTAAAAGTTGAACGCGATAGGGATATTGTGTTCGTAGTGCGTAGTTGAAACATTTAGTGTATGAAATCTTTTCGAAATCGTTATGTGCACCCACTACGTGGCCTTAAGGGCGCAGTAGCGTGTGCGTCTTTTGTAGTGGGTGCTTGACATTAAACTATAAATTCATGATAATTTCATGTTCTGACGCCCCCATAGGAATACACGCTTGTCCCACGCATTATCACGGCATAATTGCATGTTGTATGGTGAATGATGTACACAGGACACGTGTTTGTAAAGCATTACACTTACTTTCACTGCATTTCAAGGCAGAAGTTATTTTCTCTGTATTCACAAGCATAGGCGTCGCTATGTGGTAGAAAACCGCTTGCCACGCGAACTACTTGGCTTGTATTCCCAGTCAAACCCGGGATTTTTATTGTTTTATTTGCATCTTCCTCGATTTTCTGGTCACGCAAAGATGATGATTTTTAGCTCACACCCAACTACACCGACGCCGACGTCGGAATTTCTGCGAAACTAGCTCTTCAAAGATATCGCGTTAAAAAGGTCCCATTGCAGTCTTTGTCTTCGAGAGCTCGTATATTCTCACTATATAAATAATTTTACTAGCGACAATCGAGTTTATTCTGATTGCGAAGATGATGCAACTTAAGCTGAGACGTCTTTATAGAGCACACTTCGTTTGAGGCATCCGCGGTGTAAAAAAAACGGAGGCAGGCGGCATGGTAACTGCTTCTCCCAGTGACAGGTACTCGGGGGGGGGGGGGGAATCTGGGATCGAGGCGTACAAGAAAAAAAGGCTCAATCCCTTGGTGGACACACGGCGAACACTGGGAATGCAGGGTGTGTTATGGGTACCTTATGTACAGTCGCGTTCGATATGAGTTTGAACATGAGAACGCGCAATCTCAGCAGGTGCGGTATAACGCGTGACTTTCACTAGCCCTTGTTTCTCCACCTAAACGTTGTTGTCCCGTCTGGGAATCATCCTGAACAAAATATACGATTGACATTGGTTGAGTAAATAAGGACAAGTTGAAACCATGTTCTACCTTTGATGTCTGAACTCCGTAAGCCATGGGCTTCTGTGCATCTCGCTAACTGGTGGCCGGCCTCTGCTAAGCACAATTCGATTCCTATAGGGTGCATTGCATGCCTTTTCTCTCGTTCCTAATATCACGACTCGGTGCATAACGCCATGACAACATGGTGCATAACGGTGAATCTAGAATATCCTAGCAAAAAAAAAACAGCAAATAATAATAACTCTTACCAGGGATATTCGTGACCCTTATTTTCATTTTATCGTATCGCTCAAAGCAATTCGATTCAACAAGCCCCGCCGCGGTGGTCTAGTGGCTAAGGTACTCGGCTGCTGACCCGCACGTCGCGGGTTCGTATCCCGGCTGCGGCGGCTGCATTTCCGATGGAGGCGGAAATGGTGTAGGCCCCTGTACTCAGATTTGGGTGCACGTTAAAGAACCCCAGGTGGTCAAAATTTCCGGAGCCCTCCCCTACGGCGTCTCTCATAATCATATGGTGGTTTTGGGACGTTAAACCTCACATATCAATCATCAATTCGATTCAACAAAAAAAAAAAAGAAAACTTTCCCGGTTTTGATTCCTGATCACAAACTTGCAATAGAGCCGCAGAGATATCCTATCATTATTTTGACATTACAACATTGCGGAAACGGATTTCCCTAAGACGCAATTAGTTTGTTTTTACTTGTTTTTACTGAAGATAAATGATCTGCCTTTGGTCATCCCTCCTTCTCTATTTGCTTTTTCCTTTCATAAAAAATATGGTACAGATATTGAACCGCCACTTTGATTGCTGATATAATATTTACTTTGATTCATCGCTGTTATGAACTATAATTTTGTGTAGCTACAATGGAGAGGACGTTCCTCACAGGGAATCAACGGTAACTCGTATGTTCAGAATTACGTGAGAATAAAGTACGACGGAAGAAAAAATGTTTTCTTAGTAAGGACCCTATTACGATGTTTCTGCTGAAGATAAATAAAATCGCAGAGTTACTACGAAATAAGCGGCGTGCTTCAAGGTTACCGTGAAAAAAATAAAAGAGCAACATGAGATGACCACAGTGCAGTCCCCTTTCGTTTTGATGGCTCCTCTCTCAGCAATATCACTTTTTTTTTTCTTTTGAACATCTTATATTAACTTGATCTCAGCGAGTTCGTAATCCAGGGCAACTCTACCCTCGCAAAAAAAAAAAAACGTTACGCTTTCGCATAGTAATGTTTTCTTTTTGTAAAAGGCCTCGGTGGAACCATATACAGCGAGTGGAAATATAAGACTTTGTGCCTATAAAAAGGCAATGTGTTTTTTCTATACCTCTACACATCGTTCGAACATATGAATAGGCGAATAGGGTGCGAATAGGCTGTGGCATTAAACTGATAAACGCAGCGCATTCTTGCAGTGTACTTGCTCATATCTCCATGCGCGTTCAGTCACTTCTCAATTTTCAGTAGGTACACAAAACTGCCATTTTTAATTGTCAGTACGTGTTTCTGACATGCGTTTTTTGCGTATTTTTTATTTCTATGATATTAAGAAAAACGTTTATAATAGTAGCTGAACTCCACGAAATGCAAGAATGATATTTTTTTTTCGTTCACACACGGAAAAAGTTCACTATATAAAAAAAGGCATACTGCGCATAACTTCGATCCACTACGGTCGTTCTGTGACTGAAGCGAAGTGCTTTGAGGTAGGAATGAAATGTTCGAATGAATTATCTTGCATAGCTGGCGCCACTTGAGCATGCGGCAGCGTCGGTGCATGTTATTCGGCACTATGCTACACCTTTGCCGAACAAATGAAACAAAATTCTTTTGAACTCCCATGGCACATTCGCGAAAGCTGGTGTTTGTTCTTTTTTCGCCGGTCTTTGACACGATAGGCACGTCGACTGGCGATCGAAGACAGTCTTAAGCAAGAAGCCTGCAAACAAAAACAAAAAAAAAGCGCGGCTTCGCCGCGTAACTCTGGTCGCTAACCAGGAACAATAGCTAACCTATGCGCTACTCTGGTCCCGTAGGGAGCGTATACAGGGACGCCGTAGCCCATTTGAACCAAGCAAGCAGGACCACGGCCTCCGAGAGCGCAGAAGTGGTTGATGACCGTTGTTTCTACTGTCACTCCCGCTACACTCACTCTGCTGTTATTGGTGTTGGCGGCCGCGTAGTAAAGGCGAAGAACGTTGGGCACAGTAGTAGTTACGTGAGAGAGTCCACTAATTCGGCGGGTAATTTGGAGTGCGCTAACGTGAGGCGGAACCCTAAAACGTGATTTTATTTTAAAGTAAGCACTTCCTAGGTACGAAAGTAGCACTACGAGGTTTCTGGACCACTCATTCAATAATTACCGCTAATATTTCCCTTTAGTGTCCCTCTTCAAGGGAAAATGAAGCATACAATGTCGAAATGGGCATACATGCAAAAAAAATGTTAAGTACATACAAGTATATCTTTATATCACGGTACGTATCTCTTCATCTGGTGCACTGGATTCATTCACTTGGTAGCACTGAACAGCGCGTACGGTGAAGCCTGTCAAAAGTGTATCAACATGCCATATAACGGAGCAGATTATCTATCTGAAAGTATTCAGAAAGCTTTCTTGAACACCGAGTATGTGACATGCACTAGCAGTCCCGGTAAAAACAAATTACTCCTTAAGCGCAATTAAAAGGGTACTCAAGGACGTACTCCTGAATCGTTCTACCTCCTGGGTTATGTACACACCTATTCTATTTACGCAACGGCATCACTGTTTCTCATTATGCTCGGCTCAGTGTCAAAGGGTGTGGCATAGCAAGCAACTTCTTGAATGCTTCGTTGAACACCTATTTGCTCAAAACGTGAAACCTGCCCGAGGTTTTTTTTTTTTTTTCTATATTGTTCCTCAGTTGCTGAGAATGTCGGATAGCTCTTCATCATGGCGGCATCTACAAAAGTAAACACGAATGTAAAAATAATGTAAAATTCTGAGAAGATCGCTTCTTCTACCATGACTGGACTCCTGAGTAGCGGAAGTCTAACGCGAAGGACTGTGTATAAATTTAGGCGTTATGTTGTCACATGCTGAGTACATGCATGCACGCAAACGTGGGCGTTGTTAGGGATGCGGCCAAGGTTAGCGATGTTGTTACTGGCGGGTTAGTACGGGTGAGGTAATGGGGGTGTCTAGCCAGCGAAGCTACGTATGTGCCCGCAGTCTCACTTGAGGGGTGCTGTTCAGTTTCGGGCGTCGGGGCGGCGCAACCCCTGCATCGGCGCGCCAAGGCCCGGCGGACTAGCGAGCAGCAGCACAGCGTACTTTTGTTGTCGAGCTTCATGCCGTGGCAGAGGGTGGCGCAGATGCAGCTGTACACGAACGACATAATGATTAGCGGCAGCAGGAATAGGGTCACGTCCAGGTACACGTTGAAGACGCGCTCTGACGTCGCGTCCGGCCACACCTCCCGGCACTTCTTGCGTTCTGCATGAGACACAAAAGGGGAAAAAATAAGCCTTGCGTGCATACATTAGCAAAATGGTGAAACCATGATGTAAGGGTGTCATGTTCGCAATGAACAATTATGATACTAAAATTGTGAAGAAGCTACGAACAGGAGCACTTTCCTCGCTGCAACGTCCATTGATGCTGGTTGCTAAGATTATTTACAGTGGTGACATTAAAAAGAAAATGCTGATTGCAAAGTATGTTGCTTGCAGAGCGAGTAAAGTAAGTTTTTTAGATGCGATGCATTCCTTAGCGAACTTCAGCGACTTTCAGCGTCTTTCTATCTATCTATCTATCTATCTATCTATCTATCTATCTATCTATCTATCTATCTATCTATCTATCTATCTATCTATCTATCTATCTATCTATCTATCTATCTATCTATCTATCTATCTGTCTCTCTGTCTGTCTGTCTGTCTGTCTGTCTGTCTGTCTGTCTGTCTGTCTGTCTGTCTGTAAGCAAGGTGTAGTTTTCCATCACAACAGTAATAACTTAATCATGTTCCTACAGGAGAATGAAATTGTTACGAGGTTATGTTACAACATAGTGAAATGCTGCCATCATTGTCACTTTGATGATTTTCCTTATATATATATATATATATATATATATATATATATATATATATATATATATATATATATATATATATATATATAATATAATGATATCTAACGGGCAATGATGCCAAAGAGAGTATAGAGCAAGTTATTAACCCAATGGTAATGTAATTGTTAAAAAAGAAAAGTGGGTGAAAAGATAACTTGCCTTGGGCAGGAAACGAACCTGCGACCTTCGAATAACACGTTAGATGCTCTACCACTGAACTACCACACTGGCGATCCTCCCAGCCATTATTGGGTATATATGTGAGTTTAAACGTGGAAGAGTCAGTTCACGCCACCAGTAGCCATGGCGGCGAGTGTGGCACATTCTTCATGAGCCTCTGCGGCGTCATGTCATGTAGCACGTGAACTTATTGCGGGCTAGCAGCTGACAAAGAAGTCATATATATATATATATATATATATATATATATATATATATATATATATATATATATAATGCTGCCGTAGTAGCTCAGTGGTAGAGCATCGAACGCATTATTCGAAGGTGGCAGGTTCGGTTCCTGCCCAAGACAAGCTATCTTTCAGCCACTTTTTCTTTCTTAGAATTTACATTACAATTATATCTACTAACCTCCTCTATGCTTTTCTTGGCATTATTGTCTGTTAGATCTCATTAATATATATATATATATATATATATATATATATATATATATATATATATATATATATATATATATATATATATATATATTGTCTGTCTGTCAGTCTGTCTGGCAACTTATGTCTTGGCACTGTCGTTAGTAAGGGAGGGTGAAATGATTTGACGAATACGACTCGTCTTGACACGAATAATGTCAGAATCCCGTCTCGTACGTCGTAGGCCACTAGTATGCGGGTGTGTGCAACAGGTGTTTGACAGTTTATTTATGCCCAGGAACTGCGAGAACACACACATGGGTAATTTTAACGCTTGAGCGTTAAGAAAAAGCGGACATCGGCAGCGTTGACGGGACGAGTGCAGAGAATGAATGTCATTGTCCCAGCAGGAACGAAGTCGAGCAACGTGCGTGGCAATCAAGTATTGCCACGCAGGTTGCATCAAGCTTGAATTTGCCACTCCTATCTGGTCCCCTTATCACAACTACTTAATTAACATGCTTGAAGCTATTCAGAATAGGGCGGCCCGTGTCATTTCACGCAATCATGACTATCACAGCAGCATAACGCAAATTAAAAACAATCTTTCTCTTCAACCCCTGAGCACTCGTCGCGACATTTCCCTTATTTGCCTCTTTCACAAATACGTGTACACCAACAGACCCCTCCCACTCCACCTCGATGTTCCTTCCATTACTTCACGTAGGTTGCATAATCACTTCAGTTTCAAGCGTCTATACGGGGCAACTGATTCATTCAACTCATCTGCTCTTCCTCGCGCCATACGTTTGTGGAATGGTCTTCCAGATAACATCGCATCTGTATCAGACAATAATTCTTTCCGTCAGTTGCTGCTTACTCTCTTCTCACAATAGACTTGCCACTGTTCTGCACATTTTTTTTAGTGTCGGATTTTGTGCCCGATTATGTTTGTTGCACACTGGAAATGTTTTCTGTATATGGGCATAGGTTCTGCGTTTTTTGGTGCTTTTTCTATTGTATGTTCTGCAACTTATAAACAAATTACGGCACGTCGTTGAGGTAAAGCCAGCTGGCTATCTTTGGTTGATGTCGCCTTCATATGCTATAATGACTGTATTCGGTTCCCACTGTCGTGTGTGCACTATGAAATCGCCTTTTCTTTTTTCTTGTTATCGCCTGTTAACTTCAACTTATATTGCAAACCGCGTCATATTTTCATTGTGCTGATACGCTTTGTAACGCGTGAATTAATTTTGTGTGATCTGTAAAACTTCACCAATTACCCCTCTTACTCAATGCCCTGTAAAGGACCTGTAAGGAATTTTAAATAATAATAATAATAGATCCCGGCCAGGTCTCGGAGGACCTTTCAAACAGACCTTGATGTTCGTGAAACGGCAATTGTGGTTTGCAGCGCTGACTGATTAATATGTGGGGTTTAATGTCCCAAAACCAACATATGATTTTGAGAGACGCCGTAGTGGAGCGCTCGAAAAATTTCGACCACCTTGGGGTTCTTTAACGTGCACTCAAATCTGAGCACATGGGCTTACAACATTTCCGCCTCCATCGGAAATGCAGCGGCCACAGCCAGGATTTGATCCCGCGACTTGCGGGTCAGCAGCCGAGTACTTTAGCCACTAGACCACCGCGGCGGGGCTGCAGTGCTGACGTTTAAACATTACATATGTGCTCCTACGATACAGCCGTCCCGTCAGGTTAACATGAATTGTAGTCAGGTGTCATCCGCTCAAGTTTATTTATGTAGAAGTGTACAGGGCTACGATCCTCACGAGAGCAGCGCTTTGTATAAGCGTTCCGCGTCTGGTGTTGCTGATATTCGTGTTACTGTTGGCATCGTTACGCAACTGTAAGCAAATGGTGAAATAAAGATATGCGGTGGTTTTACGTATGACTGTGTTTGCATGTGTTCATATCGTTAGCACTACTTCCTAACGTTTCGCTTAAAAAACAACACTGCCAGTTTGCATGCTTTTGCTCCAAATAACATCAATTTTTAATGTACGTGGTCTCTGCAGAATCTTTATTTGTTTATTTTTATGTGGCTATTCGCCGATGACCGATAAGGTAAATCTCAGTTCACGAAAAACAGCAACTCCTCTCGGAGTTATTAGGAAAACTCCACGAAGATGCCAGCTTACCCCAGACACTAAGCTTGTGATGCTAACTACATGTTAGAATCTAGCAGAATTTCTTTGCCGGCGCTGAATTCACCCGAGGCAAATGACAGCGCATACAGTAATGAAATGATGTTCAGCAGTACTAAATGAAGGAAGTAAGTGCTTAGACGAAAGACATTTAAATATAACAGCGACGATACAAGTAACAAATATACATCAAAACAAATTAAAATGAAACTAAAGGGTCAAATCAGGAAAGAAGTGAGAGAAAGAAAAAAATTATCGCGATTAAGCAAATATAGGTCGCGCAGAAGTCCTTTAATAACGACGCTGGAACTTCCTGCACATCTTGCAATAAAAATAAGCTATACCTGTCTCCAATCTTATGTAAGCTTTTGGGGTACCGATCTATATATATCTGTCTATATCGATTCGCATCTGTCTTCCATATTGGGCCGCAAACACCCACTTTTCGCAAGAATAAATGTTCCTCAAGGGGGTCATAAAATCTATCGGGTCGCTTTGTCGACGAATCGGGTGTGCAGCCAGACCCGGAGAAAATTCGAGCAGTCACCAGTTTTTCTGTAGCCGTCAGTCAAAGATGTCCCGAGCTTCGTATAGGATTTTGTTCCTATTTTAAAAAATTCGTGAAAGATTTCGCAACCATCGCTCAACCCCTCACTGAGCTTCTAAAGAAAGACGTCAATTTTACGTGGGGTAACGACAAAGCTGCTGGTTTTTCTCACCTAATCACGCCACTGACGACTCCACCTATATTGGCTTACTTTGACTCATATCCGCTCCGACAGAATTCCGAACCGATGCTAGTAGTCACGTGATCCCAACGCCAACGGGGACACGACCGAGTTGTCACCTACGCTAGCCGCCTCCTCAGAGCTGCTGAGCGCAACTATTCTATTTTAGAGCGTGAATGTCTAGCTCTTGTTTGGGCAGTCTCAAAGTTCCGCCCATATTTATATGGCGCAACATTTCCTGTAATAACTGTTCATCATGCGCTATGTTGGCTTACGTCACTGAAGAATCCTACTGGCCGTCTCGGGCGCTGGACTCTGCGACCGCAAGAGTATACCTACATGGTGACGTACAAGTCCAGACGCCCACATCAGGATGCAGACTGCCTGTCCCACTACCCGGTCTCTGGATCGAGCACTATCCCTGACACCGACACTGGCCCTTGCGTCTTTTCTCTTTCGCAAATGACATGCATCGGTGACGAGCAGCGCCGTGATGCGTACTTACGTGCTATAGTCGAGAGCCCCTAATCACCATCTTCCGATCAGTCTCATCGCTCATTCGTGCTTTGTGATGGTGTATTATACCATCAAAAGTTTGAGCCGGATGATCCGGCCCTTATGCGGTCGGACTACTCTTCATGTTATGTGCTTTATCTTTTATGCGTTTTATTTTTTATTTGTAAACAACGTGCTCGCCACGTGCTCGCGCATGGAAGCAATACCTTTTTACTCGTAGATTAGGTGCCCTTCATATCGTGTGACTCGCATATATATATATGCCCATATATCGCCTTTCATGCCGGTTTTCATATTTGTGTCTTATTGATAAGCACATGTATATAAACAGCACTCGTGCCATAAACTG